TCGTTGTGCTGATTTGCGTATGGGCGTGGTCTGTGACTACCTAGCAGCCGTAAAGAGGCACTTCTTGGTAGATACATGTTCACATCATTCCACGACAGAGGCTGAAATGAACCATAACATCGGGGTAACCCCCTACTCTTCCGAAAGATGCAATGGGTTCTTTAAAGTGAACACGAGCCAGATGTATACACTGGACCTCCATTTTTAAGTCCTTATCCAAGAAGACTTGGTTCTACCAACCGAACCCTGGGCGAGGAGCGGCTGGAACCAGCGCCAATATTAAGGCTGTAGCTAGCAGCGCCTCTGCCTTACCGCTCGGCCACATGACTCGCCAAAATAAAAAATATACAACAAATCCTAATATTTTTTCAGCTTTCTAATTTTTTTTTTCAGAATTCTTGACCTTTAAACACATTTAGTTCCACTAGCTAGTGTAAAAAATTTTTTTTTAATTATTTCTCTGTAAAATCTATAATGAATAAAATACATAGATACAATAATACCATGATCTAGTGCAAATGATCAGTGTCAACAACTCTAGAGAGAATTCTCTTTTCAATAAATTAATACAAAAAAGTTTTATCAAGATAATATGTAGGTCTACGACTAGTTTCATATCGCTTGGTACTAAAATAATTTCAACAAAATAATATTTATATTTATATTCTATAATTAAATAATCTGATATGGAATGTGTGTGTCACTTTATATGCATTCGTGTTTTTGATTTATTGAAGTAAATATACAGAGATGTTTCAAATGTTTATATTCACGTAGGAACTAACAACTTTTATATGCTGTGCAAGATGTCAAAAAGTCATGTCACAACTCTTGTTAAACACCTGAAAGGATGTCTTTATTCTCTGATGTACTGGATGCAGGACTCGACTAAGTCCTACATCCAGATCCAAACTAGTATTATTAACTGTAATGTCTTTTTAAGTACATGCTTAGCATCATTAGAAGCATTGCATCTATTTTATTTGTCTAGAATAATATTAGGAGTGTTATACATTTGATTGGATGAACTTATTGGCAAGGGAAAAGACTGTGGCTATATATTGTTACACCAAATCTTAACCAATTCCTAATTCTTATTGGAAGATATTGGCCTAGTCCAGTCCATCAGAATTAGAAAATTGTTTAAGATGGTGTAACAATAGTAACTGGCATATTTTAACTACTTTTCTCAGCTAATTTTTAGTGTGAAAGAGAGTCAAACTTTTTTTGCCTGGGGAAAATGAGCAGAGCATAGCCCATAACAGTATTTTGTATTAGTCGGTCCAGTATAATTCAATCACGTAAAGTGCAACTCAAACCAATCTAGGCTATTGTTTGTTGCCAACCCAATTTCTGTACAAAATATCAATTTCCAAAGATAAATCAAAGTGATGTTTCTGAATATGATATTTAAAGTTTTGATTTAATTTTCATCTTTGAATGATAAAAGTTTAAATGGTAGGTTAACGCCAGTGTCATATTATCTGTTACTTTCTCAACCATCTGACGTACTTGTATTTACGTTTTTCATGAAATGGCTAGCCTCAAGGTGTGAATTATGTTTGCTCTCATTCGCCAAAATTCCGGAGGAACGAGGATGTAGTTATGAAGAGAAGCATGCATGGGAGTGATTGTGCAATGGCAGTCTATCTGAAGTACTGTATCTTCAGATAATGATACTTACCACCTGTGTTTGATTTCATTTCATATATGCTAAGAATGAGCTAGGAGATGAGCTTCATTGAGGATCATAACACAATATTTAATTATTGTGGAAGGCTTTGTATTAACAACTGATTATGATGACTAGTCAGGTACACTTATTTTCTGCATATAATGAACTATTTGCTTTTTTAAAGTTATATTGTTAAAATATAAACAATATATCAGTTGAGCCCATGTGAGAACATGGTAAGTGGTTTTGCTCAGCGATTGCATTTATGTTTCTCAACCTTTAGTTCATTGGTTCGATCCCTTGCTGTGTAATCGGTTGATTCCATGGGCAAAGCCATACACATGTGGTTGTCTCCCTCCACCTGTGAGAACAAGTAGTCACATGGTATGTTCGGTGAGAGAGCAGATTTCCCTGACGAGAGCAAAGTAGGGGTGGTCAAGTGTCCATTAGCTCAACCCGCCCTCGATAAACTAACGTTATGTTATCTCCCTATATTAATTGGATTAACACATTATCAAGGATAAGTACTGAGTGTTTAACACTGGTGTCCTTGGAGTCAATTATAGGTAAACGGATTAGTTGCCTTTTTTATGAGGTTTTAATTGTTCTTTACCGCTGAAAGTGCGGTATTCTAACGTTAGTTTAAGGAGGGCTGGTCGGCCTAATGCGCATAATATGTTCCAAAAGTGGTCCAGGTTTGACAATTTAAGGGATTCAAAGGCTTATTTTATCGATTTTAGAGTCTACTAATAATAATATGTAGAAAATACATATAAACTTTTTTTCTCCCTGACGAATTATGGTTTTTCTCCCTGACTTCTCCTAATATGGCTATTTTATACATGGAGGTTTAAATAGGTCTGATCGATAAAAGACCATACTGTACTTCATTTCATCAGTAATTTCAAATTCCAGCCAAGTGACCCCTTTGCTCTGTGTGTCGATAGTTGTCAGATGTATTTGAAGACAACCAGATTTCTCCAGTATCAGAGCGACTTAGAAACAGTTTAGAGAAGTAAAATATTTGAGATTGATGATACCGATAAGATATTAGCTCTTCTAGTTTTATTCATCATCATCATCATCATTTTGCTAAGAAACTTTTTTGCCCATGAGCACGACTTTTTTTTAAATGCATAAGATTTTTTTTTTTCAGTTAAGATGGGGACGTGTCATTTATCATATTGTAGATTTAATAAGACATTTCGCTTCTGTCTGTATTAGCACTGTACATGACTACTGTTGATGACTGCCATAATACATAATTGCCCCACAAAAATCGAAAGGTAATGCTTCTATTTGTTTGAGTGATATTTTGAAATTATCTTGAATGTCAGATTGCCTCACCTAGACTATCTGTTATCCCATAATGCAATTCATAGACGTGGATTCATATTGAGACTAAGAATATAGAAACATATTGGTATGGAATCGCCAAGTTCGAGATAATTTTGCTTTGATGCTGATGCACTCTCCAGGTCAGTAAAAGCACAACTTTGTTTCTATTTTCATTTTTACAAAAATTTATAGGAAGAGTTCATTCAGGTTGCAGTCAAGTCATTCACATAATGCATAGGCCCCAGGGCCAGAATTTGACAATCATGGTGTTGATTGGTTGAATGTCCGATGGTTGTCAACAAGCATTTAACTTGTGTTGCTTCTGAAGACCATTTATACTATTGATAAAAGAAAATAGATATGGTGAGAGCTTTTGAGATGTGGGTGCAAACGTGAATGATTTAAGCAACAATTTAGTTGTTGCAGAATGTAAATGAAGAAAGTTTGATTAAGTATGAGTAACGACATCGCGTACATGAAACGAGACCTGTATTGGGCTGAATATTAATGATGGAGATCAACATTTTAACAATTTAAAATAATAGACACTAATTGATAAACATTCTGAAGGTGAATGGATATGCAAGATGGAAATAAAAATTGAAATAAAAAATTGATGAATTGTAATAATACAGTTAATAATAAACAACAATTCATATACTGTAAAATTTATGTAGCATTTCTCCATGTTAATATCCTAAATAATACTATTTAACATAATTAGTCCTACTGGCTTGTTTTCTAAAGTGTCAACGTAATCAATTTATGTCAATGGACACCAAATATTCAGTTAGTGGAATGGTTGAAATTAATAATAATTATAATAATAATAATAATAAACTAGTGTAAAATATTGAGAATCAGATTTAGAATCAAAATCTATTTGTCCTCTCAGAAATTACAGACTTTATTTGCAATTATTTCTAAAAACAGAAACTACTGAAAACATAATGTTAACTCTCTTGCTCCTACAATTAGTTTAACAAATAAAAGATAACTAAGGATTGAGAAAGTACCTAAAATTGTTTTATCTTGTATTGCCAAATAAAATACAAATAAAAAACAAACAAATTTGAGTGATCCTACTAGGATGCCAATACATAGTTGAATGATGAAGATATTTATATACTGTGTATGGAATAGCTGAAACTTTTAGTATCAATATCATTTTCATTATTTTACTTGTTGTGACAAGTTGAAATAATTTTATTGTATTTAAATATTATTTTTAAAAATACAAAAATATGTATTGTAATGTTACTGAAATACTTGGAAATTACTATATCAGCACTAAAAGACAAAAAATTAATGAATACAATGTGTTTCTGTTACTATTCATACAGATGGAGTACATGTCTCAGTGCATATCATGTCTTGGTTGCTATTTTGAAAAAAATGATATGTTAAGGGAATTTTATAAAATACTGCCCTCTCTATTGTACTCGGAGACAAAAAATATAATTGGAAGGATATAATATATGGTAATTAACTATCAGCATATTTAAGAAGAAGATTAGGAGATTCAATTTTTAAACAGGATGATTATTGTTTTGTTGAAGAACCTCTGGTTACACTTTTATTTAGAGTGTATGTTATAGTGTATGGTTGGGATAATTATGATGAAAAACATAGATGGAGAAATTTATATCAAGCAAAATGTATGCTCGGAGACAAATGAAATACCTTCTCAGGTAAATGTAAACCTTAGCCTTCGGTTTATCTAAATTGGAATCAGTCATTTTGAAGACTGTGGTTACATAACACTTTATTCATTAATTGCTTTATTTGATTATTATGTTCGTTAAGCCAAGTAATTATACGAATAATTGTAGCATTTAATTGAAAATACATGCTTTAATTGTCTGCGGAGAATTACGTTCCTCTGAATTCATTTGGTCCTGAGATAAGTAGTGATCTCCCCTGTTTAGGAAGTGGACTAGTCCGCAATTAAATCTCCTCCATGGCTTAGCTTAGTTGCTGAGAAACTCACATCACCAATGAGTAGGCCATGTGCAGATACTAATGAACTACACAGATATTCATTATCTTCCGTGCGGCTTGCGTGTAAGACTTCCTCGGCTTGCTTGTCACTCCTCTTTCTCTCTCGTTCTCGCACACTGCTTGCAGTCCGCTGCCGTCTTGATTTTGCCACATACATACTGAAATGGATTTGTCAGTAGAAGTTTAACGCTGTTCTGTAGAGTCAACTGTATGTAGTTTATCTATACCTAGTAAGTTTTTTAAATTTCTTCTTAAATATACTATCATACATTTAACACAGTTAATGTGGATAGTGCTTGGTGTATTCATTAGTTGTGTTGAGCTTGAGAAAACGAGCTGAATAATCAATAATTCACTTTAACAATTCTGAATTCTCATACATACCTGTACAGCCTGTAGTAGTAATATAGTGTTCTATTGCAGATCACTTGCAATTAATAATTTGCAACTACTTTACATTTCAGAATTAATATATTCATTTTATATTTGGTAACAGTATACTAATTTAATATATGTAAATATTTATATGAATGTGCTGCACAGGCAAATATATATTTAATGAAAATCATAATATTCTGTCTCCAATTTTCATTATTTTATAAATCATGTGTGTTACACATGCTCCATTAATTTAAACATTATATTTAAAATGTTTACAAATGCAATACTTTCACTAAAAATACTTAGGTTGTATAATATTTATCTATTTGATAAAAAATATCAGAAATATAAAATTTAAAATAAAAATCACATAAGAAGTAACTAATGCTTAATAAGAGGTAAATATTTTATAAGCTCTAACCCTTTTTTTTTGTAAATTTATTTTTCTAAAAAAATGGTGTTTATTTCTCATATTTCCTGAGTGATTCATCAGATTAAAATCTTTATAAAAACTTATTACTCCATTTATCAGAAATATGAATCTTTTTTTTTTATAAATTGATACACATGTCATTTGTAAACATAGACAAATTCAAATTCCATTGGTTACTGCTGTTTCTTTTCCTCATATGAATGAAACATTTTTGGATTTAATTATCATGTTTGCTTTCTGACTCAAGTATGCATCTGTTTTTCTAAATAATAATGTAAACCTGAGTGCATACAACCAAAACATGAGGATTTAGAGATTGCAGCATTATCAATTATTCCCTTACTTTGCAATTTTCATGAAACAAAATTTACAGTAGTATATAAATTTGCTACCCGTACAGTATTTTTCATGAATTTAGTTTTTGTTTTCCCACAAAATTAGTAAATGTCCTCAGAGTGAATGAGAGGCAGGTTACAGAAAATGTTTCCTTTTCATCAAACGATTTTTATCCATCTATTATTTAGATATCTTAAATTGTATAAATGAATGGGTAAATAGATAATTGTTACTATAGATGTCTATCTATTAATACGCCTATCAGTAGCAATGATAAATTTTTATTATTACGATGGGAATTCGGTTGTACAATAATTGTTTTTATCCACTCTAATGACATTACTAATTATTATGATAATGGTAAATTAATTATTTAAGCTTATTGTTTTACCTAGTACCATCCGGAGGTTTCTTGGAAGTAATATTTAGTCATACATTCATAAAGTAACCAATTGTTATATTTTTGCATTGTTCTCAAAATATTTCTATTAAGTCTGTTCAGTATAGATTTCTGTTGATCTTGGTTATACTATTTATAATAATTATTAATTAATTATTAATAATTTCATAGTAAAAGATCTGATTGACAGATGTTGACAGTGCGGCAATCTAGCAAGAACACTACAGTATGGTATCGGCATGGCAATATGATGAATGATAATTAATTTGACTCAGGATTTTTTTTAGGCAATTACTTACTGCTTTCAATGTATGTGACATTTCGATATTTTCATGAAAAGCTTCTGCGTACGCTTCAAGTCTCGAAGGTTGTCGCTTAATGACTTGCCTCTAGCTATACTGTATCTGATTTGTTTGGTGCGGGCTAGCATTTCATCACTATTATAATGTCAGGTTGCTTCTCGTATTGATTTTCAGCACGGACTGTACCACGGCAGGTGTAAGAATGGACAGTGGTTAAGACTTAATTTTTATCCATTTTCGCTGTTCATTCATCTGTATTTTGACGTTAGGGCCCATAAATATAATGAAGAGATTGTCACTTCAGCGAAAATCCCAATTGTTGTTTATTGGTTTGATTTTTCTCTAGCATTGCCTTGTTTAGCTATTCAGACATGCACAGAAAACATTGCGCTCTGTTAAATTAAAAGTTGAAAGTATTAGCGTTTGATTTAGAAATGCATGACCATAGACAGCGGCATATGGAATATAAATTTAAAACTTGTTTTGGAGTAGGCCTACAGTACCCTGCTACACTCTTTTTCTTCTCTTTTTTTTCCTCTCTCAGCCCCTCATGTCCCCATAGATCTGCCCCTGCGAACATTATATCCCACTAATTAACTTGAATCGAATGTCATTGAAAAATTGTTTGACTTAGATAAAATTTGACTTACAGATTGTTAAATGATTGAAAACACAACAATTTGGCATGTAAAATTTGATTGACTAAAATTATTCAACTTGGGAAAAGTCGGCAAAGTTTACTTTAACTGTAAGGCAAGTTTGATTGTAGTTCCAAATTTTAGTCAAATGGCATACCATAGATTATATGAATGAACTTAATAAGTATATTTTTTTCTCATGTTTTTTTTTGCTTTTTCTCATAAACAACCTTCTTGCACCAACCCATTAAGTTCATTGTATCGCAGAAGGCTTTTGCGAAATACTTTATTTATACTCCATTTGATAATATTCTTTTTAGGAATGATCTTAGGTTAAATGTAGGTTGAAGGGAAGAGGAGATATCCCTCCCTGGTTACTAGGAAGCCGCTCTTTTGATTGTTTTGGCACTCTCTGAATAAACAAACTAAAAATGCTGTTAGTATTGGTTTTCAGAGAGCTTAAACATCTGTTGTGATTAGCATTTGCTGCGTGTATGCCACTATGCCTGTGGTCCTATTTCTATTATTATCTGTGTATGTAAAATTACATACTTGAATATTGTTGACAATAGTTTAAATACAATTTGTAATATTATTGATTTAAGAGTTCATTTGGGGTCATATTTTCAGTGACATGTCCATATAGGACAAAGGATATTTCATTTTTTAAATTCATCATTTATTTCACTGAAGAATCTCTCTGAGGAATCAGGCTCTTTCTAAGCGGGGTCTTTAGTATGTGAAGTGAGCAAGATATGCTTGGCGAAAATAAATTAGGGCCTGTTTCTACAGACAAAATGCAAAAGTACAGTATTCAATGAAACCAGTTTTCATAATTGTTTATTAACAAAGATTGCATTGCAGTTTAATTTTGAAACGAACAGAAACCGGTTTTCTCCTAAGGAGGTCGTTGTGCAATGACATCATTTTTACCCACAACACAGTTCGTTAGGCGGAAGTGCGATGAATCGTGAAAATTTCCAGGTCAACAGAAATTCATTCGGTCGGAGCGGAGTACTTAAGTATATTATACTGAATTTGACTTTGATTCTGCTCTAGTCCGCAGAAAAAGAAAATTAATAAATAAATAAAATAAATACATATCGACGTTCTGGTAATTTCACACGAATACTAAGTACAGGTTTTTGTGCAGCTCAGTGTGTTTCATTCAGTTTACCTACTAAATTTTAATAAGAATTTTTTAGATATACAAATAAAGGTAAAACTTTACTGTAAATTGCTTGGTTTTGTTTTTGTTATGCTATTTATCCATTTGTTGTTTTTGAACTGTCTTTTGCTTTCCTTTGTTTATATTTTATATTGTTAATGGGTGCACCATCTAAGTGATGGGTGCCACTGATCTAAAAGTGAACCCAATAAATCGTATCGTATCGAGTAGTTGCAAGAATATTCGAAATGGTACCCTCTGCGATAGCCTCGGTCCACATTACGCCCGACATTACGTTTGCTACAACAAGGAGTTATTAGAAGTACAGACTATTCGCACCAAGCATGCAGAGAGTGGTTATGTTGCGAGTCTTGACAGCTAACTAGGTCAGGTCAACTGGAGACCGCTATTGCGTTGCAGCTAAAAATTGCTCCACGAATACGGGTTTCAGTACGGTATTTGGCGATCGAGACCAGATTCAATTGGGGTTTTTGAATCCCGTCTTTGAATTTGGGTTATTTTGAGGGGACCCATTTCCACTGATATGAAAATACAGATCTTTGAGGATATTGGTCCTGAGACCAGAATTCTATTCTCAGCAGAAACAGGCCCTTAAAAACCCAATGTATGCAGTTCTCTAAAGCAACATTGGCTAGAAAACACCTTGTTTTTTGCAGCCCCATACCAATCATATGTCAAAAGTAATTATTAAAACTGAGAAAAAGTGGTGTAAAAGCAGCTTGGAGGTTTTTGGAAGCATACTTGGAACATTAAAGTTTGGGTGCGGCCCTCTGTGTTAAATCAAAAATTCACTTTGGCCCTCCGACCGATTTTTATGGCCGCCCCAGCATCAGACAGATACCTCCAATCAACAGACCAAGTTCAAATATTGATGTACATGTTCTGAAACATCTCAGAACACCTTAAAATATCCTATATTTTTTTATGTGCTTTGACCCCACCAGAAATTTGCTCCAGATTATCAGACCCCGTTGGACAGATAGCCACGATTTGAATGTAAAGCCCACTCCATGGCTGTCAAAAAGTGAATTTTGCTGATTTAGCATTGTTCAAATGACATATTTACTAATCTCAAAGGTTCTAAGAGCGAAATTTAAAATTAATTTCCACTCTTCTTGAAGGTCTTTCTAAATGACCTTCAAGTGAAATACCAATAATCATTACATTTAATTATTTGTGAATTATTTTCATTGAAACATACACTATACAGACTATTGTGCATAAACCATACACTGAAGCAGCACCCATGTAACAACTTGCAATTTAATTATGTATAGCTGCAAGGTCTGACTACTGGAGTAAACAGTGGTATATCTACAGTAGGAGTCTTGAAATGGGAGGCTGATGGGGAAGGGGAAAGATAGGTTAAGTGAAGGGGGTGGGAGTGGTAGCTCGCAATGTAAGTGATAGGTGATTTTTATCTACTTGAGCTTGACTTTTTTGCTTTATTCATTTTCATTGGGAGCACCACTGGAGGTGCAGGTTTTTTTAGGGGGAATGCTTTCCCCACCCACTCCCTTAGATATGCCACTGGAGTAAATCTATGGTTTA